TATATATATATATATATATATATATATATATATATATATATATATATATTTTTTTTTTTATGACCAGCTCTGCTGGTCTCACAAGATCCTCTCCTCCGGAGACAGGACGGGCAGGCTCATCTTCCCAGCTCCAGCTCAGCTGGTGACTCACAGAGGCCGTTCCAAGACCCCAGCCGTGCATAATCATGAAGGCTCGACACGCGCAGACAGGCGGACAGAGACGGGTCTGCGACGAACGGTGGAAGCGATTTTAAAAAACATATTACGTGTAAAAAAAAAAATCATTTTTAAATAGCTTCAGCAATTTTTTAAAACATTTTTTGTATAAAAACAAAATATTATTTTATTTAAAAATCGCTTCCACCGTCCGTCCCAGACTGTCCAGTCTGCCTGACTGCCGGGCGGGATCGGGATTCAGCCTTCATGATTACGCGCGGCCGGGTCTCGCAACGGCCATCTGCGCGTCCCCATCTCCAGCTTCGCAGTGACCAGCGGAGCTCTGAGCACACAAGGCTGGTATCCGGAACCCGAGCCTCCGAGTCGGCACATCGAAGGATCTTCTGCTGTGACCAGCTGAACTTGGAGCCGGGGAGATGACGCCCTGCCCGGCCTGGCGCTCCGAGGCTCCGGAGGGAGGATCGGGGTACACCAGCAGAGCTCCATCCAGCTTGCTCTGAATTATGTTGTCAGCCACCAAGCACAAAAAATGCCAGCACATCAGCATTAGACCAAGATATTGTCAGTATTGTTTTTAAAATCTTAAATCTTAGTTTTCTACATTCGTCTTATAATCTAGCTGTTTTTTGTTACTTTTCTTTTTTTTTAGCCATCCTATTTGAAAGAAAAGAGAAAAAAATTTGGATGACTTTTTATAACTGTTTATTGTTGTCACTGTTGTCCATTGTTGTCATCATTCTTTGTTGAAATCAGGTCTCTTGTAAATGAATCCTCGAGACTCAATGGGATTTACCTGTCTAAATAAAGGTTGAATGAATTTCAGCTGCTTGTATTCATAATCTCAATTTTCCTGTTATTACAAACACTGCTCACCTGATATAACAATAGTTTTGTCTTCCTGCTCAGTTGTATCTTTACCACAACAGATTGCTTAATGGTCTCTATCGCTACAAAAACCTTTCCAGTTTTTGAGTCTCCTGCACAGTTTTTCCCCAATTGTGAGCAATATTCTGAGAAACGTGAACACCTCCACCTAGAGTGGGCAATAGCCAGAGTCGAAGGCCATTCTGGTCCAATCCTTAGTTAATAAAACTGGCTTTAGCAACTTGACCATAAGAAATGTGCATATCTTTCAGATGTACAGAATGCCATGACATGAAGGATATAATACTATGTCATCCACAGGGATATGGAGGTATGTTTTAACTGGGTCTTCAAACCCTTTTCTTCCCAGTTCTGAGGGATGACTTCCGTCAGACACCCAGCGATGTGGTGGTAGCAGCAGGTGAACCTGCTGTCATGGAGTGTATTCCTCCAAGAGGCCATCCTGAGCCCACCATCTCATGGAAGAGAAACAACATCCGGGTCAATGATCGAGATGAAAGGATTACTGTAAGTTGACTCGTGCTTCTCTCAAGTTACCAGAAAGGCAGAAAAGTGAATGATCTGTGGTAAATATCCTGATGCATGCTCAATAATCCAGGTAGAAAATTCTAAAAAAGTTAAATCTGGTCCTCTGGACATTCAAAAAACAAAACAAAACAATAAAAAAAAGTAGAAACATTCCGTCTTTCATCCGAAATACTTCCTCACTCTGTGGTGCTGTATTCAGCTCAATCTTATAAATAGCAATTTCTCATAGTGGATCAACCAGTTTGCTGCTGACAACCAAAACCAGCTGCTCACATGATCAAGAAGGGCCATCAGCCTAACGATGGATCATTAGCACACTGATGGCTGTTTGCTATTCACATGGGGTTGAGTGATACTAGCATTAACAGCATTGTAAGAGGGGGACAGTTGAACACGGAGGCCTCCACCCCTGTTTAATGATGGAAGATTTATTTTCACAAAGACTGATCTGTACACAATATTTTTATGTTGTTTAATATTGTGTATGCTGTTCAGTGTCAGGAGGGCTGTGATCAGTCTTACATCGGGGAAACTAAACAGCCACTGGCCAAAAGGATGGCCCAGCACAGAAGAGCAACATCATCAGGCCAGGACTCTGTGGTCTACACTCATCTCCCGGCCAGCGGTCACTCGTTCAGGGATAAAGATGTTCACATCCTGGATAGAGAGGAACGATGGTTTGAGAAAGGAGTAAAGGAGGCCATCATTGTGAAAAGAAACCGTCCATCATTAAACAGGGGTGGAGGCCTCCGTGTTCAACTGTCCCCCTCTTACAATGCAGTTATTGGTAGTATCACTCAGCCTCCTGTGAATAGCAAACAGCCATCAGTGTGCTAATGATCCATTGTTAGGCTGATGGTCCTCCTTGATCATGTGAGCAGCTGGTTTTGGTTGTCAGCAGCAAACTGGTTGATCCACTATGAGAAGGTGCTATTTATAAGACTGAGCTGAATACAGCACCTTTTGGATGAAAAACGAAACGTTTCTACATTTTTTTGTTGTTTTGCTTTGTTTTGTTTTTTGAATGTCCAGAGGACCAGATTTTACTTTTTTAGATCTATGGTAAAAAGTAATCTTTTCAGATAAAGTTTTTCAGAGTTTAACAGAATGCAATCATTGTAACACTCCTAGTTAATGTTTTATAACCCGTAACATCAGCCATAGAGCACCAAGAATGAAGAGCAGAAGTTTTCTTTCAGAATGGGCTAGGCTAACTGCTGGTCTGGAGGAAGTCTGTTCTAGTCACTGAGGTGGCACTTCCTGAAAATCTATCATTGAGTGGTCATGTGGGGGCCACAAAAAATCCTGGAGTGTCACCCTAAAACAACAAGCCGTAAAATAATTTAGAATTTCTATTAGCAGTTGTTGTAAAATGGCCATTTAAAATCTTTGGCAATACGAGATTTAAGAAATGTCCAACTGATTTAGCTTTACATTCACACATAATGCCAAAAATTATTCTTTCATTAGGTTTTTTGTCCTTTCCCCTAAAAATATCATATGCACATCTTTAATTTTGAAGGAGTATATTGAACAAAATATTTACTAGAAACAAGCTTTCTCCTGTTTAAAGACACCACTTCTAATTATTTTAAAAACATTTTAATTGTGTGAATGCCTGTAAAGGCATTCAAACCATTGTTTTCCGGAAAGTTGCTATCATTATTCCATATGTTTTTTGGAAGCTATCTACTCCCACAGGTTTAGTGCTATGTAAACAGTTCATATATCAAAACGTTCAGCCATTTCAGGAGAATATGGCTATGACTTTTATTATTGATGCAACTTTAGCTTTTGGAGAAATTTATCCTTTTCTGGATAAATGAATGGAGCTCTATATAAACAGACCAAGAGCACCATCTGGCAGTTTTCAAAATACCCTACGCATTAATCTTACTTTGGCCTAGAAGCAGGACACTTGATAGACTTGTACATTTCCCCAACATGGAGCATGCTGAAGGGGTGGGGCCAGACCTGAAAGTTTGACCTCTCACCATGAAAAACAAAACTTTAATAGCTCATAAACGAAAACTCTCTGAAACATCAAACCTTCAGTGATTGATCCACATCAGATCCCCTGCAAGACTGAATACATCCCAAGCTGACCCCTGTGATCTAATCAGCATGAGAGTGTGTCCAGTGACCGAAGACATGTTGGTGTAACTTGCTTTCTAACACTGACAGTTTTGGGTGGAGCATGTGGGCGGCGTGGCGAAGTAAAACGTAACGCCTTCGCAATACGTTTGGCTCTAAATTCCACAGATTTGAGCCGAGGTGCACCAAAATCACAATGATCGATCATTATCCACCCCTTGAACAGGAATCCATGATAAGTGGCCAATAGCCTCTATAACACCCACTACGTTATTCTTACATTTATATCTCGGCCATACATCATCCGATCTGCACCAGATTTTTGGTGCTTGATCATTGAGCAATTATAGACGCATTTGTATTTTTGTTTAACTTTTGTCTCAAGTGCGCCCCCTAGATTATTCAAAAAGTTATATCTCAGTGACATATCATCTGATATGCACCAGATTTTTTGTGCATGATGTGTGAACACTTGTAGACACATTCTAGACACTTTTTTGTTTTTGTTTAACATTTGACTTGAGTGCGCCCCCTACATTATTCCAGTAGTAATATCTCAGTGATACATCATCCGATCTGAACGGATTTTTTTGTGCTTGATCAGTGAACACCTACAGACACTTTGGTATGGTTGATTCATGACATTACTTAAGGCCCACCCACTCAGAGAATAAACTGTCAGTTATTGAGTAACTCTTCCAGCTTGACCCTGTGTAATTTATAAAAAATGAAACTGTAACTGTTGATTACGACACGACGTGTAAAATCATACATGAAGTGCTCGTCAAACGTTCGCAACAAAACAGGGAGTCACAATAACTCCTGTCTGGAAAGTCGGATTTCACGTATACTTGTAAGACCTGGAGCTGTACTAGTACTGAAATGGATGGAAGGCGATGTCAAACATTCAGGAAATGCGCATCGTAGTGAACGTGTGGGGGACTGGCATGACCGCGTTTGCAACGGCGAATGGGTGTAGGGGCTGAAACTCCTGTGGTCGCGGCATGGCCGGAGCGGTGCTTTGCTGGGAGGGCCTTAAATGGCATTCACACGTGCATTTTCAAAGGAAATGCAAATTCTCTAGTTTAATTTAATTCATTTATTCATTCATTTAAATGAAACAAATTTTTTTTTTTTAAAAGTCATCAAAAAGAAAACATTGAATGAAAAGAGTGCAGAAAGAAGAAAAAATTCTTATATCTGCCCCTTATAAAATATAAAACAACTTTAAACAATCACTTAAATTAATCACTTTAATATCCACTTTAAAGCTAGGAATAAAAAGAAACATGTTTTGTGTTAGCATAATTTAATTCTAACTTTGAAACTTATCCAACATTAATCACTTTAATATCCACTTTAAAGCTAGGAATAAAAAGAAACATGTTTTGTGTTAGCATAATTTAATTCTAACTTT